GCGATGGCGTAGGCTGCAGCTCCTGCTGCAGTGGGCTGCCGTGAGCTACCGTGAATGGCTGGTGGCCGGCGTGAGCTACCGTGAGCCGCTGTGAGGGGCCCTCCAATGACCGGCGAGTGACTGCCTCACCTGGGAATAACACAATGATAATACCAACATGGGCCAGTGAAGTGACATCCTCCACAACTAGACTGAAGAACAAAAGGACAGCAACTTGTCTATTCCCCTTCCCTGATTCCCCAACTCTGTTTCCCTCCCCCAGTTCCCCAATAAAATCTTTAAAAAAAAAAAAGATAGCATTGCAAGACAAGTCTCAGGCATAGTCAAGATTGGGAATGCAGTCGCTTGGTTCCGATGCTTTATAAAGTGGTGCTTATTTATATTGGCATCATCTTATTAAGATATGGTACTATAGTTCCAAAATCCTGGGATTACCTGCACAGTGAAATGGCCTCTTGCTTCACAAAGTATTAGTTAAGTTTACTTGTAAAACAAAAAAGTCTTCAAAAAGGTCAAAAGAGATAGAGTTATTTTATCTCCTTACTCCAGGTAATTCTATTAAAAAGATGCTAAATGAAGTCCAGTTTTAATTTGTAAAGTTTGGTGTAAAAGCAAATGCATTGAAATCCAGTAAGTTTAGCTTTCATCTAAATTAGCAAAACAGCTACTCATTTTGGTGAGTTTTCACAAGCTATACTCTTGACCTGAAGAATCACTTCTGTTATGCCCAAGGGATGGAGTGGTCTTTGTAGGGGATGGAAACATAGTACCAGTTGAGTCAGTCCCTCCATCAGAAGTACTTGGGAACAAGGCCAGATAGGGAACTTTCTTCCAAGGAATTCTCCAAATCCTTTCTTTCTTAACTCCACTGTATTTTCATTTTCATCTTCTGATGACCTTTTTTGGATTCTAGACAAGCTTTAGCTATTTTATGCACTTCCAATCCAATATCTAATTCTCACAATTTTTATCTCTGTTCCAGGAGACTTGCTCTCAGACACATTACGTTCCCATTGCCCACTTTACTTCAGCTTGTATTGGACCCAGCTTTCCATTTTCAGGCACAGCTCTTTCTACATTTCTGTTCAAATTAGTAGTCTGGAAGCCCCTACAACTGAGAAAGCTCTTGGTCCTCCTTTCTCTTGCTAACGAAGGACTCTGTAAGGCCTCATGGAACCATAAGTAGCTGCTTCGTGGATGGTTTCATGGTACTGGAGCTGAAGGCTAGAATTTGATTAATGAAGACAGCTATGCTAAACCACAGAAGTTGCTGGACTGATGTTAGGAGTAGCACAGCGAGATGTACTCAGATCACGCTGATCCAGTAATTTTAGTAGCTCTTCTACTGTGGGACCACCTATATCCTTATCTTCACTTTTGTTAACCATATCTATGGCAATGGTCAGATCCCACATTTGAATGCTGCCATTTGTATGGCTTGTGAACAAGTAGCACCGTAGCCTTGAATCCATTCTACTGGACCTCTCACATTCTTTCACTGTAAATGAGGATACTGTAGTACAGTCAACAACTTGGATCTCACATATCCTTTTCCCAGTAGATGAGAGTCTTACAAACAGCTTGTTAGAGATGGAACAACTTTCTTTTTTTTTAAGATTTTTATTGGGGAGTTGGGGGATGGGAACAGCACTGGGGAATTGGGGGAAGGGGAACAGACAAGCTGCTGTCCTCCTGCTCTTCAGTCTAGTTGTGGAGGACGTCGCTTCACTGGCCCAAGTTGGCACCATCATTGCACTCTTCCTGGGTGAGGCAGATCAGTCGCTGGCTTCTGGATGGCCGCTCACGGTGGCTGCTGGCTACATACGGTAGCCCGTGGCAACCCACTGCAGCAGTGGCTGCAGCCTACACCGTCGCCGACGACTCATGGCAGCCCAGCTCCATGTTGAGCTGTGTTCAGCATCTTAGCTGTAGAGGGCAGTGTCACTGATCCTCATGTGGAATCCGAACCAGGGCCCTCTGGTGTCCCAAGCCAGCTTTTAACCAACGGACCACTCGGCCAGCCTACAACTTTCTGAATAAACACCTATTGATCATCTCACTCTCCATAAGGCCCTATGTCATTTCCAAAGGAATACCTTCCATGACTTTCTGTCTCCTCCAGAGAAAGTATCTTCAGTGAACTATTGTATAAAAGTCTAAAAAAGCTGAGGGCCTGACCCAACTGTCTCTTGGTACTGCACAATAACTCATACTGCTCCAGAGTTCATACCATAGGCATTCTCAATCTAGTTACCACTGACACTTGTTTTGGGTGTGAGGTAAACACTCAAAGCAGTAGTAGCATTATTTGAAGGATCATCATAAAGTCCAGTTACAAGATCATTGTCTCTTCATTCACAAAAGCAATTTGTGCATATCTGCACTATATTGATCCATTGTTAGATCCTTGTAGAGGGAATGACCCAGCAGTGTCATAACTAGTTATAGGAACAACATCTTGAACCTGCTAACTGACAGCATTCCACAGTCCCACCTTCGCTGTATAACTTGTGACCACCAACTGGTTACCAATAAAGAAGAGAGCATCTACAGGAACACCAAGGCTGAACACTCCAATTTCACTCCATTTTGAACACTCCCTAAGATGATGCTACTCTCTGAGGCAACAGCAACCATGTTTGTCTCCATGTGGATCTCCGACCACTTTTGCATTTAAAGCTATTCATTCAGTCCAATCCAAATGTGGGCTTGTAAACACTTGTTACCACCCTGAAGATTCTTTAATTCTTTAACACACAACAAAATGGGCACATGCAGCTACAATCTAGTTGTGATGGCCAGCTTCTGTTAGCACCTTTCATGGATCCATAGAAAATCCTAGCCTAACAGTTTCTTCTCCATTTCCAGAGAGAACAGTTGGGGTACCATTTCCCCCAGCTTTACCTTCTATAGAATTGAGTTCATTCCTAGAATCAGCAGAGGATCAGTTGTGTTGTTTGAAAAAGGACACTGCCACAAGAGGAGTGTTCAGTTCACATAAGAAAAGCCTTACTAATGGAGTGATAGCATACAATTCTGCTTCATGCCTGAGAACATTAATACGCGTTCCCCTTAAGTTTAGTTGTTTTGGCTGAAATAAATTTAAAATGAGTACAAATGCTACTGGATCTCTATCAATAAATATGACACCAGTTTCATCTCGAAGTGTTGAAATTTTTCCATTCAGCAAACTGGAAAGAAAAGAATCTGCAATCTATCTCAGAGTCTGTTTTGAGGTACTAAATCTGGTCCCCTCTATGTTCAACTTAAGGATCTCGTCATTTCCAGCTGCCCTCGTGGTGAAGCTGGTACCGCAGTACCCTCCCACCATCTTCTTGGGTGTGCATACCACCCTCCTTCCCCACCTGGCCGTGGCCGGAGCGCTGAGCCTCCCCAACCTTCCTGGGGGCCTGGTGTGGCTCTCACGTTGCCTCTTCCCCTTCGCTTTGTACGTCTGGCCTGCACCTCTCTTGGACCTGGCCTCCCCCGTGCGATGCCACCCCATTTCACTTTTATCTTCAGCCATATCTAACCTGCCATTTAATCTATCCATGTAGTTTTTCCTTTTTTAAAAACATTTCAATGACATCATTTGTAGAACTTCTATTGGTTCTCTTTCAATAATTTTTTCCATAGGCTAGTTTGGTTTTTTTTTTTAAAGATTTTATTGGGTAATTGGAGAAGGGGAACAGACAAGTTGCTGTCCTTTTGTTTCTCAGTCTAGTTATGGAGGACATCACTTCACTAGCCCATGTTGGTATTATCATTGCGCTCTTCCTGGGTGAGGCAGTCACTTGCTGGCCATTGGACGGTGGCTCACAGCGGCTCACGAAAGCACACGCCAGCTGCCGGCCAGCCCCACTGCAGCCTATGCTGTCTCTGGCGACTCACGGCAGCCCAGCTCCAGGTCGAGCTGTTGTTCACCATCTTAGCTGTAGAGGGTGCAGCATCACTGGCCCTCATGTGGGTTCCGAACCAGGGCCCTGCTGCTCAGAGCTGGCGTCCCAAGCCAACTCCTAACCGACGTGCCACTCGGCCAGCCCCCATAGTCTAGTCTTTCTTTACTGTTTCCATTTTGTTTTTAAGAATTTAAATGCCTTTAACATACATTTTTAATGTCTAATGATCAATTTAATTGATTTCTTTTAGGTTATCTTATCTGAAATTCTTAGGTACTAAATTTCTCGCATACTTGGTTTTGGTCAAATTGACTGATGTATAATAAGTTTGGGTGGAAGATATCACATATTGATAATTTTTGCACACTTAGCAGTCCAGTGAAATATTCAGGCACCAAATACGGTATGTGTTTCTTGTTCCTATGGAGCTTAATTTCTAGTAACTGGCTATGCTCATCAGTCACTTAATGTTTAATGTTATAATACAGAGCTTGGCAAACGAAGGCTCACAGGCCAAATCCAGCCTACAACCTATGGTCTATGAACTAGAATAGGAATGGTTTTTACATTTTTTAAATGGCTAAAAAAAATCAGAACAATACTATTTCATGACATGTGAAAATTATATGAAATTCAAAGTTTTGTCCGTATTGGAAAAGCTGTGCTCATACGTTTATATATTGTCTATGACTGCTTTTATGCTACAACAACAGATTTAAATTATTTGGACAGAGTTGAGTAGTTTTGATAGAGACTGTGTGACTCACAAAGCCTAAAATATTTGCTGTCTGACCCTTTAGAGAAAGAGTTTGGTGATTCCCTGTACAGTTGTTTACACTGTGTAAATGGGTTGCTATCCAAGTGAGGGAAATGTATAGCTTTTGGATGGGTGGTATATTAAAGTAATCAGGCAGAATACTCTAGACCTGCTAATTGCCCACTTTTTAGGATGGTTGTGAGAATTATGAGTCTGTAATCTACATAGTGCATGACACTAGCAAGTCTTCCATAAATAGCTGCATTTAGCATTATTAAATGCAGTATTATTGAATCTTTGTAAACTGATTTTCTTTTGCTGATTATGATGTATTTATAGTTGTTTACCTGACATCAGTAAGGCCCATGTTTATAATTGGTTTTGTAACACGTGATTATTTTATGCGAATCCATCTGTACATAATAGTTCTCCTGATGTTCTGCTTGAATTCGCTAGAAAACCATTTTAGGTTGTTAAAGAGGGGGATGGAGAGTAGGAAAACCTCCAGATTGAATGTATCATCTTGACTTTAATAGTAGTAGTACTCTAATCTTGAGACAATGATAAGTGGCTCAGTTTTTACTTATTTATACCTTATTCCCCCAGTGATTTGATGTAGATTACCAAGAGCACAAATAAAATAAAAAATAAAAATTATTTATTAGGCAGAGAGAAGTAGATGTGCCAGGCATGTAAAATAATTTTTATGTTGTATTTTAATTAAACAGCTCTAGATTTTCTATTAGCTGGAATTGTGTCCTGTAGGTGTGTAATTGTGTGATAAGAGAATCTTTAACCAATTTACATCCTGTGATTCTCCTATGGAAATGATCTCGCCTCCCCTGCACTCCCTCCCCTCCCCCCCAGCTACTTTCTAAGTGTAACAAATGTTAGGGAACCTTGTTTAAGGGGATCTGACAATATAATAAATGTTATTTATGAGATATAATTATCTGACAAAGCTAGAAGTACTAGTTGACTTGTTGCTGATTGAAGTGGTTGATCCTAGTAACCTATAGGCAAAAATATGGGAAATTTAAGAATTTGGCTTGTATAGATCTTGCTTTAATGATGGGCTTTAGGTTGTCAGCTGCTGGGCTTTAGGCTGTCAGCTGCTATTCCCAAATGCGTTCTCAAAAAGGAAATTTGAAAATGTATAAGCACTTAATCAGAAATACGGTTGAATTAGCTGAGTTTTGTGCCTATAGGGTGAGATAGTTTAAACAATCCTTAAGAGGAAGGATTAACTTTCTGCATTTATATAAAGGAACTTTTAGTACAGTTTCTTTATTTTTTGAGATGTTTTATATCCTAATGATTTTGAGTCTTTTTTTTGGAATAACATTGTTTGTTTTTGCCTCTTGTGAAGAATTAGTATTTATATTTCTACAAATAACACTATAAAAATTTCTCATGCAGTGTAATAGGGGAAAGCATAGGCTTTGGAGTTAGATCATTCTTTTTTCAAATCCATTTAACTAGTTTGGAGAAGTTACTTTGCTTTGTAAGCTCAGTGATCTTTATTTAGTTTGAGTTTCAATAAAGTTTAAATCACATGTAGTAAAGAGATTTTGCTGAGAAAAAGAACTGAAGTGGGAAATTTGAACATGTTAATCCTATCTGTCATTCAGTATTGACAAGTAATTGACTTGATGTTTCAGGTGCAGTTGCTGAATCCCAGTCTGAAGAACTACTGAAATGTATAAAATATGGAGATTGAGATATTGAATATAAAATAATTAGCATAATGCCTATTCAGTAAACACTGAATTAATATTAGTTGTAATTACCTATATAGAGGAATGACATTATTTGATCAGTCTTTAATGGAAACTTTTTCCTTCCAAGACTCTTAACATGATGTGTATCAAAGTCACCTAGAGACGTGGCTCTCCAACATTAGTGTACATCAGATCAGAATCACATGGAAGGTTTGATAAACAGATTGCTGGATCCCACTCCCAGAGTTCCTGATTTAGGTCTGAGTGGGGCCTGATATTTGTGTTTTAAAGTGTTTCCAAGTCATGCTGATTGATGCTGCTGATCTAGTAACCACACTTTAAGAACCATTGACTCAGGGCATTTTTAAAATATAGCCTGCGAATAGTCCTAGATCACAGTGACTGGATAGGCCTAATTTTTTTTTTGGCTGAATGCAGCTTAATGACCAATTGTCTATGGTAAAATAATTTATCGGCTTTTTAATTGAAGATACATGTGCTTGTAATTGAGTAGGATCTAATAGTTACTGAATTTCTATCTGCCCATTTCAGGGATAGGCAGTTTGAGTATTTCTTTGTTAATGTGTGAAATAACCTCAGTACTACGAGGAAAGTTACGTGTTTAGAAAGCGACAACAGGTCTGTTTGATTCCTAAATCATTACCTTTCTACAATAACACTATATGTTCTGTGTAAAAAGAGTTACCAAGGTGCAGAATTGGTTGTATTCTCCTACTAATAGAAGTGAAAGTGTGATAACCTCATTATTTTTATCCCCTATAATTCTGTTCCTATTATCAGTTGTTTCTCTTGGTTTTGATTACAGTTTCTTATTTATTTATGAGCTAGCTTATGAATGGTAGGTATTGATATGAATAATCAGAGATAATTTGAGGCCTAGGATAATATATCTTCCACTAGAGGAGACGTGTTTACTTCTGGCCAATAACTGGGAGCATTAGCAATCTCAGATCCCTTAATCCAAGAGTTCTCCAAATGTTGCCTGGTCTGCGGTATCAACATCACCTGGGAACTTGTTAGAAATGGAAGTTCTTAGGCCCACTCCAGACCTACTGAATCAGAATAAACTATAAGGATCGGAAACTGCAGTTTGTTTTAACAAATCAGCCAGGTAATTCTGACATACTCTTGGAGGCTGAAAGATTGGAAGCTGGATTTCAATCTGTGAGAGGACTGTTATAGTTCTAATTCACTGTTATTCATAGTCTATAATCCTCATCCAAATTTGGTGGTGTTTACAAGTCCCTCTGGACTTGATAGATCTTGAACTCGACTTTTTGTCTCCTTAGCTCCCTGGGTCTGTTGGAAATTCATCTTAGCTCCTCAGCTCACAGCTGCATCTTCTGGAATCAAAAGATACCTCAGGGAAAAATATGAATCTGGGTTCAGATTTTTGAGTTTTTTTGTCCCTGATCTTCAATTCTTAATTCTTTATGCCTTGGTAGCCCTCAGATGCCTGAAACAGATTTTTTATTTTATTTTTTTATTTGTAGTTTGTCCAGTTTTTCTAGTTGTTTTTAGAGAGTGGAGTGAAGATTTATCTGCATTACCTAATATGCCATTACCAGAAGTGAAGAAGCCTTCTGTACATGGCTATAAGAGATTAAGAAGTAAAGAAATGTCTCAAGGAAGAGAAAGTGTTAAGCAGTATGTCCAAAATAGGTTTGTTTTTGTAATTCTGTAGTGTCAATATGCCTAAAGACAAGAATGATGCTGGTACTATGAACTCTGAACTCTCTCCTTAGGACTATTTTGGTGTGAGATATTTTTTAGGGAACTGTTAGGTTTCTATAAAAGTAATTCGGGGGAGGGGAAGCAAGTTGCTATCTTCTTATGACTATATTTTCTTAGAGTAAAAACTAAAATAAAAAATTAAACTTCTTTCAAAAATAAAATTAAAGTATATAAGAATGACTTTTAAAGTTTTGTTTTG